CGGAGGCCGCGAAGGCAGCAACTGCGCAAAAGGTTAAGGAAGTTTTTACAGTGAGTTAGGTTTGTGGGTAGTTGACCCACGTAAGATTCTATTTGTCCAAAAGAATACTAAGTTACTAAATCAAATGGCGAGTGTCATGATACTCAAATTGTAGTAACCCGGAAGACATGTTCCAGTTGACGGAGGAAATCTGGCACCACTTAGAACCCTGAATGTACTATAACTTCGAATGTAGGAGGTATATATCGTGATACAGCCTTACTCCCATGCGCTACAGCGCAGGTCTGCGATTGAAGCAGTGCTAGCGCTTGCTCCTCAACTTGCCCTGCAAACCCTTCCGTGCCAGAAGCAAGGACCAGCATGCGAATTTTCAACATGATGCTACGAGTAAGAACCCGACGACATGAGAAACATCTATCAGAATATCAACTCTAAAGCAGTACAAACCGTGAATCAGCAAGGGTAAGCTCTCTTGTTACATGCTACCCTGACTGGTTGTCCAATGTGATCTCTTCCGTTCCTGAAAACTACCATGGAAACCAAACTTTCAAAAGAAACCCACTTCCAGTCGAAAATCTGCAGATTGAACATAGCCGCAAATCCCTTACATCTCCAAACATACCCTGCAAATCAAACCGACCTCTTTTCCTTCCCAAAACTGGGAAACAGGATTTGAAAAGAGGTCATCCTTTTTGCGCTGCTGTCCTTTTCAAAGGGGACCGGTTTCAATGTTGCTTTGGGGGAAGGCAAGCTGATGTAAAAAGAGGCCTAGCTGCCTTCGTCGACCATTGCCGACGTTGGGCAGCTGAGCAAAGGCGGCAACCAAAGCTTTGTTGTGATGCCAGCCTGCCAATATGGTTTCCGACAGAGTATGGCATACTGCATGCAGAAGAAGTGAACTCCTAATGCGTGGAAACTTCCAGGTAAGAACCGCAGTCCAGAAAGAAGTCGAAACACCATCCGGCTGTAGCCTTTCTCTCATTTGTGTGGTACCATGGTATAGGAGAATCTCGAAGTGGAGCGTCGCTAGAAAAGATTCTTCTAGGGAAGCTTCAACGAGGCTGCCCAGCATGATCTAAGCTACAATCTATACTCGGGAATCTGTGAGAGACAGTCTTGCATGTCAAAACTTGAAGGGATCTAGAGCTGCAGAAAAGGAGTGGGGGATTTTTAAGCTCCCCGAAGGGCAAACCCTTCCTCGAAACTCCATAGCAAGCCATGATGAATCTGCCTTCTGTAAGGAGTGCATGACGGATGCCATCTCGTTACCTGCAGATGCTGGGCTTCAGACAGAGCTACGGTCTGCAGCGTGGGTCTTTATGAGCCCTTGTCTTGACTCCCAGTATCCCCTTTATAACCCCTATAGTAGTCCCCTATATAATCCCCCATATAACCTCCATTTCAGGAGTTTAGACTATAGCTCTTATGCCATCATGAGTAAGGGGATGGCACTCCTCCTCACGTTTTGCGAACCAAGCTTTTGCTGGCATTTCCTCCTTCGTCTGACTTTGTGTGCTTTGTTGATGGATTGGTGGAAAAACCCACTAGTGCTGTGGCATGCGGCCTGTCCGAAAGTCCTGATGTTGCGGCTACCTTCCCTACTGATCAAGGTATGCGCAGTAGACTTCCACTGCCTGAAACCCTATCGTTGCCAGCTCAAAATGCACTCAGACCTGCCAAAGTCTTGACATCAGATATTCCTAGACAGCAATCTTCACTTCATATTCCATTCCTTCATTCACTACTATAGCTTCCATGTTCTCCCCCATGCCCTTCAAATATCTCGAATCTGAAAGATGCCTAAAAAGCCGGCTCGGGCACTGCCGCACATGTGAGCTTGAAGGGCTACCCTGCGTCCCTACACCTTGACTCCTCCCAAATTCGGGACACAAAACCAAACGGAACTAGTCTGCAGCGTGGCGCTTGGGAAGATGCGGATCCCCCTGAAGACAGAATCTGAAACAGAACCTTACTCCAGATTGCAGATGGCAGTCTCCTTAATATTTCACGACCCCAGCAGCCTTCGGACTTTGCGAGGACGAGGGCGTGCCTACTTGCAGGTTCATGGGGACTTGGTTAGTTGGTTCATTACCTCTATTAGCCATACAATAACCCCAGTTATCCGTACTATTACCCTACTTACAAAGTCCGCATGACCCTCCAAGTATGCTTTGCAAGGGCACCTCAGCCTGCCTTTTGAGTTTGATCTCAGTCGTAGGGCGGGGTTAAGGCGCAGGAATTCGGAGGGTTTAGGGGTTCAAGCTCAGGAGTGAAGAGCTCCAACTGTACAGCCACCTGCGTCAACTGTATCAGGCGTCCAAGATATGGGGTCCTAAAAGAACAATGGCTTGTTGCATTTTATTCCTCAGCCATACTCTGTACGAGGGCGCTGGCAGTTCACAGAAGACTCGCGACGGCGACGGGGGTTTGCAACATTTCAGATTCGAACTTGTTGGGATGAAGGCTTGCGCAGATCCTACAACTCACCTCCACTCTCTCGCACCTTAGAAATAGGCCACGGGTGAATGTAATCTCCTGCCTCATCTTTTCAATCCCCCCGCCTCCCCCACAAGTATTAAACATGCCCGATAAACTATAATGTACCACACTAGGGGGCTGGGGAGGTTTAATATTAGGGGATGCAGACATATCACCGCTCTCTGCTTCCTAGCCCCTAGGCTCACTTTCGGTTCACTAGGACTGGAGAAATGGATTCTTAACGTAGTCCCTATATATATATACCATTATAGTAGTTTTCATTTTCTTTTCCATTCTAAACCCTGAACCCTGCTAAACCCTAAACCCTACAAAATCCCATTTTAGTCGTTTCCATGTTCTTATCCATTCCTTCATTCCCAGCCAACCAAAGGCCAGTAGGTGATCCGTCCCCAACGCAGAGACTGAGATGACAAAGCAGCAGCGGCAAACAAGGATAACACTGATGACTCCTGTCAGCCAAGGCCGCTCTACTTGGAAGGTCATGGGGACGTAGTAAGTCGGCTAATAACCTCCATAAGCCATATAATACCTCCAGTTATCCCCATTGTTACCCCACTTACCAAGTCCCCATGACCGTGAAAGTAGCAGCTATTGCAACAGTGATAGTTGTTGTATGCTCTTGCGGTATGTCCCCTGAATTCTGAACCCTACCCCCTAGCCCTAATGTCTGAAGATAGTGGTTGGAATGGCGCACCGCCAGCCGCGTGCAGATGCCACCGAGCCGACCCGAGCCAGAGGCTGCATGAGCATGGCGTGGATTCGGCCGTGTGAGCTTAAAAGAATGTAAGGTGCACTCTTCAGGGCTTGAAAGCCTGGGGATTAGGGCTTGCAACTGCAGGCTTGCGGCTTGAGGTCTTTAGGCGGAGGGTGAGCTTGAGAGTCTAACATCTGGGACATGTCTATAGCTGGAAGCTGTGTATAGAATGTGAGGTTTGATATCCACCTATAGGGACCCAGACTGCGACTTCCACGCTTCCATTCAAAGTCTGCTTACAAGTCTTGTGGCTGAAGTTGGACAGCACGGCTTCGGGAAAGGGACCTACAGAGCAATGATCCTGAAGATTTGCCTAAACCCTAAAGCCCAAACCCAAGGTGGCAGGTTCCAATCCAGGTTTCCACAGCCCTTCGGGATCGCCCAGCTAGAGCCCTCAAAACGGAGCGCTTTATTGGGGATATATGGGATAATGGAAAAGAAAATGGAAACTACTATACAGTAAATTATGGTATAATAGAAAAGAAAATGGAAACTACTATACAGTAAATTATGGTATAATACAATAAATCATTGTATATTATAGGATTTTTGGGACTTTCTCAACCCTTCGCCATTTTGGCGACATCTGGAGATTACGGAGGCAGTATAGAAGTCCCTGCTTCGGACTCAACCAAGGCAACGTGGTCATGAGTGTATAGTGGTTTCCATAAGTTGCAGTCCCGATACAAACCCCAATAACCCCCATTTGGGGTGTTTAATTAATGTTAAGATGTTGTTCAGGGGTTAGATTGGGCTTGCTCAGGATTGCGAAATGTGCTTGGTTTTGCACCTCCTTGTTCCACCTGCTGAGTCCAGTTTCAAAGTGCTTGCACAGGATCTGGACAAAAGAAGCTCGAAGTCAACCCTAAACCCTAAACCCTAAACCCTAAGCCCTAAGTTAAAAGGCTGGGCAGCAGCCAGGCTCCTCTTGCCTAATATGCTTCATACAGTAAACACACGAATATAAGGGTTATATAGGGTTCTATAGGGGTTATAGCAGGCTTAGGCTTTAGGGTTTACCAAAACCCCGCAAGCTGGTTTTCTAAACATGTAGGCCGGAAGCTGTATGCATCATTGCAATGCACTTGCCTGGTCCAAAATAGGACGCCAAGGCGCAGGTTCCAACCATGCAGTTTTCCCGGAAGATACCACATGAGCCATAATCTGAACTCCTAGTATCCCCCTTAACATACCCTATAGTAGTCCCCAATATAATCCCTTATATAACCCCCTTTAAGGAGTTTAGACCATAGCTCCCATGAGCCCTGGACTAAGTTATAGTATATTCCCAGAGGTCCCCATAAACCCCCTAGACATACCCTTGTAGGTACCCCCAATTTAACTTTAGTCTTATAGCTTACATCATCCTCATCCCAAGCACCACGCATCAAAGCCGTTTAAACAAACCTCTTTAGGGTTTAGGGCTTAGGGTTTGGGGCTTAGGGTTTAGGCTTTGGGTTTAGGGTTTGGGGCTTAGGGTAGGGTTTTGGGTTTATGGTTTAGGGTTTAGGGCTTTGGGGTTCAACATCCCAACCGACGGAACTGTACCTTGCTCACACGCCGAGGCCCATTCAAAAATATCGCTGCAACTTTCAAGAGCCCTGTGGTACCCAAGAAACCCTTCAACTTCCTGGTTAGTAGGGAATCAGGGAAGTTATCCCCTATATAATCCCTAAGATAATCTGTTCCCCTATTCCATACTAAGAAACAGTAAGATGCCCAAAGCCGGGGAATCCTTTTTGCCACTTCAACTCCCACCATCCTTTCCGGATGCTTTGAGGTCGCGCACCAAGGCGTGCCTAGTGGGCCGCCAGTCAAAGCGCTCCTGCCCGAGAAAATCGCTATTTGCGAAAGGGATAAGGGCCGATAAGGAAGCAGAAGAAGCCGCGAAAAAACTCTACATCTTTCTCAACGAAGGCAAACTGAGGGGAAAAAAGGAACAACAACAATGACAGTCAGAATGATGCGAACTAGCGTGATGGCAATGGGGATTGAATTTCAAATCTGACGAGGTGCAGGGCACATGGCGTAGCAGAGTGGTGCTTGAGGGTTGAGACCCTTAGGAGGTTGGATGCTTCAGGGCTGAGCTTGCAATAAGTATGAAGCCTGGCCCTGCATATGCTTCATGTACTCCTAGGCTAGGGCGAGGACCCCCCCAAAAAAAATACAAAAACTCTACTCTCAGGACGCAAGCTGAAGAAAAGGACAAAGTCAATTCACGAGGGATGCAGCATTTAACAGAAACCGAAACCGATGACCATACTCACAGTCTGCAACCCTTGCCTTTGACACCGGCAGTGTTCGCCGAAGGGCCCGCAGCGTGCTGTCGCAAATCACATCACACTGCTCCTGTCAGTGGGCAATTTGCCGGTCATTCTCAGATGTTCTGCTGCTACCATGAAAGCACCCACTCTTCCGTGGAAGCCGTTGATGACTCTGCTATCGCTTTCCATTCCACATCCATATCACCACCACCATCACACCACGACCAACATCACCAAAAAATAGTATAACCCCAATATAACCCCAATATTACCCCAATATAACCCCAATATTACCCCAATATAACCCTAATATTACCTCAATATAACCCCAATATAACCAAAAATGGTCACTTGTCATTGCCATAAGCGGCCTGTCCTCTGTAGCGGCCTGGAAGCTATCCTCTTCGCGGCGGATGGCCTGGACAAGGCCACCTCCCTGATCCCCAAACCTGGGTTGCTGCTAAGGAATTTACACTGAGGTACTATATTGGAGAAACTTTGTTATTTTCTATCTATATATATATATGGATATATATATATGTATCCATTATGCTAACTTAATTTAAGTTCCTTAACAGCACGCCAGTAATTTTTGGAAAGGAGGCAGGATCAGAGAGAAGCTTCTGTTCAGTGTCTGGGGTCTAGCGTGATAGGGTCTTTGGGTCCAGGCGTCTGGGGCTGCATTCTTCACAGCGTTAGCCAGAAGGTTTAGGGCTTGGGGTTGGGAGGTTCAGGGTTTACATAGCTTCCTGGTTGACAGTCCATTCATGGTTGATTGTTTCAGTTGTAGAGCTCACTGAACCACGCACCCCCCCCCTAGGGACTCTACACCAGGAACCGAAAAATCCTCACCTCCACCGTCTCGGCCGCAAACTTTGCTGGGTCCGTGGTCTCTTTGACCTGAGCCAAGCTCTTTAGGCTCTTCAAGCAAAACCTGCATTCACACAAGAGGAACCGTTACTTTGCAGAACAAGCCTGGAAGTCTGCAACGGTCAGGGTTTCTGGAGCTTTGGCTTTTAAACTGTAGGGCTCAGGGCTTTCAGTTAATCTTGTCCCTGCGAGTTGGGACGGATGCTCACCTGAGCCCACGAAACAACCAAAGACCCAAACCAGCCCTCACATAATCTCCAGTGCCCAAGGCTTATTCGCACTGCAAACCCCTACAGTCTCCGACCTGATACCACGGTCAAGATAATAATGGCCCATAACAATGTCGTTACTATATGCCTGACGAGAACTAAAGCAAACCAGCAGGCAAAATCATCCACTGCTGGTTGGCTGTTGCAGGCGGGAATCTAGAAAGCGTTCCAACAATTTCGTTGGCCCGAGGAATTTCTGTACCCACTGCAACTGTCAAGAGAATCCTGCTGACTACGATCAAGCCTTACCGCTTGCTTTGCAGCCCACAAAGCGGAGAGCCCTAGTAAAGCCATTGCACTTTTGCGAAATCTGGAATCGTGTGGCCTCCTGATCCTTGAGGAGCTGGAACTGGAGTAGTGGCTGACAAGCCAAAACCATCCTTAACATCGTACAACCATACTTCGCTCCAGGTGACCTTCAGGCATCATTCAAAAATCATGCACTCCCCAAGGCTTACAAGCAGTTCCCCACTCTTCTGGTAATACTGGGATAAGTAAGTAGAATGGCGATGTTCTAGGCGGATCCCCCACCCAGTGACAGTGACTATAAAGGATAATGGTGATCATATTAGGGCGCTCTTATATTCCTATTTTGCCCGTATTACAGGTTGGGGGGGGGTCCACCTAAACTATAACCCTGAACTCTAAACCCTCTATACCCTAAACCCTTCTATACCCCTATATTCCCCACATACCCCTAGATAACCCCCTTAAAGGTACCCTAAACCCTAAACCCTTGGGAGCTGCTTTGGTCCAGGTGCCGTGGTGCGGCGATCCGATCGACGCCGGAAATGCACATTGCCATCCTGAAAGGGTTTGGGTTTAATATTGTTTTTTTCTTTTATCGGACCTTTTCTCCCCGCTGAACGAGTCTACGGGAAGATGCTCGGAAAGCACGGCAACAGCGAGCTAATATTGGTGTTTAGGGTTTAGAGTTTGGGGTTTGATACTGGGGTTAATGGAAAAGAAAATGGAAATTATAGGGATTATGGAAGTTATATGGGGGTTACACAGGGAGAATTGGGGTTATATTGGGTTTAATATTGGGGTTAATATTGGGAGAATGGAAAAGAAAATGGAAACTACTGTATTATAATAGGGGTTATATTGGGGTTATATTGGGATAATGGAAAATGAAATGGCAACTACTATTTAGGGTTTAGGGTTTTGGGGTTTGGGGTTAGGGCTTAGCATTTAGGATGTAGGGTCTAGGGTTTAGGCCTTACGATTTAGGATTTAGGATTTAGGGTTTTGGGTATAGGGTTTAGAACTTAGGATTTAAGGTTTTGGGTTTGGAGCTGGTTAGGGATTTGGAGTTTCTCCTAAAATTAAGGGGTAATGTACCTTTAGGGCGCATATAGGGCTTATATGGGAGTATGTAGGGTTTAGGGCTCAAGGCTTCCCATAGTTAGGGCTGCTAGTTTGAGGGGTCCACATAATCAGGATTACAAGGCTTTAGGGTCTGTATTGGGGTCCTCATATTTTGGGAAACTACCATTTAGGGATTTCTCCAACTAGGGCCTCAGTGAAGCACAAAGTTTTGAAGTCAGAAAGCCTAAACCCGAAACCCTACCATGGGGAAGTATGGTTGAGGGTCGGGAGTTTAAGGCTTGGGGTCCTACTTGTTACGAATGGAGTCTAGAATTCGAGCAGTTCTAAGGCCTCATGTGCAAAAGTTGGCATGCAGGGCTTGGGCAGAGTTTGCGAAACTCTGCGTTAAACCAACCCGGACATTGCCGCGCTTGCTTCGTTTTTGCACGGTAACCCTGATCCCAAAACCCTAAACCCTAAACCTGGTACTGGCACAGCATGCGGCCGAGCAATCACGTAAGAAACCAAGGCTACCCCCTCTCACTCATGGGAAGTCTTGTGCCATTATGGCCGCACATCGCAACAGCAACTAAAATGGCTAACTAGGTCTTCCTGAGAGGCGTCTAGGATGCAAAATCATGCGCGCTTGCTTCTTGCGCTGCAAACCTAACCCAGTTGGGGGGAAAAGCACGAGTCTGAGTACTGTTTGGGCATACGAATGTTATCCTGAAGGCAGACATCCTTAGGCTAGATTTCCAAGGATACCCAGAGGCCCATGGGACTTAGTAGCTGCTTATAACTGGGCTTATAACCCTACATATAATCCCCCTAAATGGGCTTGTAGGGGTTACCCCAATTATAAGCATGGCTATAATCCCAGTTCGAAGTAGTTACTAAGTCCCATGGGCCTCTAAGGATACCCCATTTTCCCAAAAACTCTTGGGGGGAGGATAGTTTGGCATCCCAGGCCTCAGCATAATGGCTGGTGAACTCCAACACGCCCACCATCCTCGCATCTCACGCAAAGGGTTTGGGGTTCAGGGCTTAGGGTTTAGGGGATTAAGGTGTAGGGTTCAGAACATTAGGGTTTAGGGTTTAGGAATTAGGGAACACGCCGACATCCTTGATCGAATCCAAGGCAAAGTGAGGTTAGAGAAGTGGCACAAGACCTCTTGTTGAAAATTGAAGGCTACCGTACATGAGCAGCGGATGCATACACATACATATGTACCAATCGTTTAATATAGACGTATTCAGCTGCGTACGTTCTATATGTACACACACGTAAACATACGCGGTCCTTCCGTCATAGTGATGACATTGGCATTACGTGAGAATTGGCTTTGGAGCACTGCTACATTCAGTCTCTTTGAGAGGCCACTACAGAAAGCTGGAGCAAGACAGCAGCTTCCAACAATTGGGAGCCAGGTCTCTGTGACAGGGCGCATAAGGAGGCTTCTTTTATTCTGGTGTATGAGGTGGAACCGCTTTTTTTTCATGAGCCTGTGGGTCTCGAATGTGAGAGGCCGCCGGATCAGGCTTGTCTACGTCTTGCCACTCGAGTTTCTCAGTATGGAGGATCAAAGAACAAGGTTTGGTAACCTTGTGAAGAAGTATGGCGGTAATTACTCACTTGCTTTGCGAAATCAAGGCTGAAGATTCCGGAGCTAAGGGCATTGAGGTGTCGAAGGCTCTCTGGTTCCTTTGTCATTAATGCTGATGCCACAGGCATCCAGTGATGGGGTCCCTATGACGAGGATTGTGGCATGTTTTGAAGCCTTGAAGCCCAAAACCCACACACGAAACTGTAACTGCCAAGGCCCTTCTTCAAATGAAGCCAATGCAACCCGAAACTCTGACCCTCCGAACCCTCAGCTAAGGCCCCACAACTCAACGCAACCACGCAAAGAACAGCCATTGCTCCCCAGAATCCCCGCTTTCAGACTGGTGACTTGGCAGGTTCGCTTTGACCAGGCTCAAAAAGTGTCCGCCACCTTGGATTCGAACAGAAGGCTTCAAGGTCGCCAAAATCCGCAATAACATCAAGGTCCTGTGCATTCCCCAAGAATTGACAGTTCTTCCGTAATCTCTCATCGCAAAGCCATCATGGGTTTCTAAGGTGTCGGGTTACGAGAGTTTAGTCATGAACTGCGGCAACATGGTGCGTGCACTTTGCAACGGCCATCCCAACGAGCACCGCTGCATTTTTGTTGAATTTTGCTGCCTGAAAGTGTCGTTGCCTAACAAGGACTTCTCCTATAGCACGCAGCCTCAGCACAAGCTTCAAACTGCTCTAGCTGAAGCAAAGACCCTACAATCAGAGCCCAAATCCACGAAAGCCCAAACCAAAAAGATCCCAAACCCGGCACCCACTCAACTCCTAGAACTCCAATACACACACACAAAAAAAAAAAAAAAAACAA